CCACCTGGGTTCTGCGACGACGGCGTTGAACTCGCCATCTCTAATGACCATAGAGGCTCGGGTGACAAGGAGCGACGGGATTCGCTTGCGGTCGGCGGAGCTTCTCGTCCGCACCGTCCGAGGAGAAGTGGCAGAGGCGGCATCGGGTTCCCATCTCGACCAGCTGAAACGACGGTCGACGAGGGAAGAGAAGGACCGTGGCGGCGCGGCTCCCTTTGCTGCAACAACAAACGGAAATCCACTCGGGTGACGTTGGGCAAGCCGACGACGCAAACGATCATCAAAGGGAGGCCAGATCCGGTGGTCCGTACGTGGCCAGAGAAGGCAATGAGGGACGGGACGAGAGGATGGCTGGTTCATCCGTCGGCGCTGCGAATCGAGCAAATAGCTCGACGATCTATGAAGGGTTCCTGCGTGTTGACGATGAGCGGGAAGCTGGAGAAGAAGGTGAGCAAGGTGGCTCTGGGATCGCCACCCGTCCGTCTGGTGGGTGCGCCGTCGCCGACGAAGGCACCGGAGATGGAGAGTAAGCCAGAGGCGAGCTGGCAGCTGTGTTGCTTGGTGGGGCATCCATCGCCGGGAAAGATGGCACCACTAGCATCGGCGGCTTCACTAGGGCTTTCGGGGGACCAGAAAGAGAAGGTTCTGCCGGCGGACGAGACAAAGAGGGAAGAGTCGGCGACGGGATGCCGAATTGCCGAGCTAGAGCCACGATGGTCGTTGGGGGGCTCATCACCAGAAAAGATGACGATCGCGGCAGCCCTGGGATCGTCGTCCGGCCGCCTGGCGACTTGCTCATGGCCGGTGGAAGACACGAGGGAGAAGGGTTGCGGCCACATGGTCTTTCCTCCAAACCCTAAGACGGTCGCATCAATGCTCAGTGCACAGCTGCTTGAGGAGTTGGGCTTGGCCGACTGGGTCATCTTTGTTGGGCTGGTTGCGGCCCAATTGAATCATAATAGCAGGTCTCAGTTTGGGCCAGGTTGGGTCTCGCATGGGGTGGAGGGCATTGGAAATATGCTACCAGCAGATAGCAAGAATTCTTATGGGTTTGGGTGAGCGGGCCATAGGATGGGGATGGGCCACACGAGCTTGGTTCCTGGGCTGAGCTAGCTGAACCAATCGATTGGGGCTAGAATTATTGTGATTGGACCCCGTTTAGGCCAAGTCTTGGGCCGCAACTGAGAAATAAGAGGGCCGAGTTGAAGTCTGGGCCAAAGTTTGGAAGGAACCAGACTCTGATACCAGTCTATGGACCGACACCTGAGCAAGTTGAGTCTCTCTTATATGGTGTGTGCTTGAAAGAAAAAGAAGAGGGATTGCTGGGCTTAGATGATGGGATCAAACAAGAAAAACTCTATGATTCTTACTTGGTAGAGTTTGAAAAGGAAGATGGGGGGTCATTTTCACATGGTTGCGACATGAGTGACATGGGTGGGGAAGAAGCAATGAGAGCCGGAGTTGCTGGTGCGAGATTCGTTCGAGTAGTGGAACCTGATTGGAAGAAAAGGAAGCGCAAGAAATGGAGAAGACAACACGCGAAAAGCATGGAAGTGGATCAAATTGGTCAACCTTGAGGGCAAGGTTGGTCTCAAGGGGGAGGGGATGATAGAAACATATTTCTTAGGGTTTCAATTATTATTTATGTCATGATAATTATTATCAGGGTAAGTAGTCTTTTAGTCGTATTAGGGTTATTATTAGGTTTTCCTATCTTTCCCTATAAATATGTACTTGAGTATTCAGTCATAGGCAAGCAAGAACAATTATTCAGAAAGTATCTCTCCCAAACCCTAATCATCTATCTCCTAATTTCTCATTCTCTAGCCCTCTTAGGCTTCGGCCGATTCTATCTTCTATTCTTCTTCTTCCTCTAATTCCCAATCTCAATCCCTATCTCTATCTTCTAATCCCTAAATCCCCAATTCTCTTCTCCAATCCCTAAAATCCGAAATGTCGATCCAATCCGCGAATCCGATAGAAACTATGTTTCTATCACCTCTTGCCGGCTTTTGAAGTCCCGCAAAAAGATAAACTTCAGACTTCTCAGGTGCTGCATTGATGTTCTCTCCAACAACCCATTTCAACTTCTTACACCCGAATCTCTTGATCAATCTTGTTTCTCTGGGATGCTGGTGGTGGTGTTGCAATTTGGAGTTGGCCAAAGGAACAACTGAATGACCTGCAATCTGATCACCCTAAAACTGAATGCCTGCAATACATGCATAAAGTCCAAACTTTTTCCAGACTGGCAATTAATTGAGATATGATGCTGAAACAGAACTCAGTTAAAAGGGAGGGATGGGTTCTATACAAACCTGGCCTAACTCAGGCTCGTGGACAACTTTACCATTCCACCAGAACTCCATCTTCAAGTCCTTGTTTATCTTGTTGTAGCTGAACTGTTTCTTCCAACCTTGCACAGTAGAGTCAAGCTTGTTCTCCCATTTGGATGACGTCTAAGCACAGCACAAACAGATGATCACGGCTTGGAATGCATGCAAGATGTACATGATAAGCCAAACCAGACCATCAAAACTACCAACAAACAAAAAGATCTTCATACATAACAATGAACCAGTCAAAAGGGGAAAGATGCAATGATTTCAGCTTTCTCTCCATATCCTGTCACCGAGATCACACCTTTATGGCTCGGGTTAGGCTGCCTAACCTTCCATACGCGGCACAATTCAAACCAATTATCTAACTATTGTGTTGAAGCAAACTTCATAGATAGAGAACTTCACCGCCTGTCAAAGGCCACAAACATATAAAATGATTCCATTATAGGAGCCAACAATTTGAACTGATTTACTAATAGTAGAGATGCAATTATGTTACATGAACCAAGCTTAACTGAACTAAATCAACTGGACTAGGCAGGATCGATGACTTAGCTACAGCAGAATTGATGCTACGATAAACCAAGTCCATGTCCTTATAAACCAAATTGAAGAGAAGTCTGCAACACAATTTACTATCAAATGAAACACGGAAGAATCATGGTTGTAGGAGGGAACTTGGTCTTTGATTTGATCAGGTGAATCATTTTGATAGGCTGTATTGTAAGGAGAAGAGGGTGAAGAGGCTACTGGAAGAGAAGGAAATCAGGGGAGGTCCGTTAATACTTCCACATAAAACTTAATCAGTTCGTTATTTTTTCTTTGAAATCCAATTTTCTCCAACTAAAGCTTTGGTTTTTGGGAACTTGGTGTTTGATTTTATCAGGTGAAGCATTTCGATAGGCTATATTGTAAGAGAAGAAGGTGCAGAGGCTACTGGATGACAAGGAAACCAGGGGAGGTTGGTTGATACTTCCACAGAAAGCACGAAAGAATCATGTTCGTAGGAGGGAGTTCGATTCAGCTTAGCCTACACCTACTAATCTAAAGGTAAACTGGACATCAATGCTAGAGAAGATAGCATAAACAGACAACCAAATTACCCAAATCTCCCGCACAAGAAATGCACTCCCACCTAGGGGTGGGCATCGGTACGGTTCGGACCGCACCGCACCGAACCGTATTTATGTAAACCGCACCGCATCTTTGACCGCAAAGTTATCGGTGCGGTCAAACCAAACCACATAAATTAACGGTTTGGTATGGTTTAGACCGCACCGCATTTTGACCGCAAATGACAAGAAAAGAAGGAAGTTTGGAAATAACAGCAAAAAAAATTGGCAAGGGTTCCCCTACACATTGCTCCGTTTCCTGCCACCAAAATTTTAAAATAGAGCATATGCTCCATATTTAGTTATCTGTTGTAGTTTTGAAATAATAGCAAAAAAAAAACAGGGTTCCTCTCCACATTGCTCTGTTTCCTGCCACCAAAACAGCGCATACGCTCAACAAAGCTCTTCTTTACAAAGATTAATGAAAACTAAGTTAAGCTGATGCAAACAAAGCAGATACTTGTTTATGCCATTGAAAGTTCCAACTAGAAACTACCCACAAGAACACCAAGACAAGGGAAGGCCCGATTTCCCCATGCCTTGCATCTCCACAAATAGGCTAGCTAAAATCTTCTACAAAGCACACCAAAAACCTTCAGCATCCATTCTGGATTGTAGTCTCCACATTCTCATGGTCAAGTTCAGCAAAAGATCCAAACAAATACTTCAGCTTTGATGGCTTCCTTGTAGTTTCCACCAACCTGTAAGAATAGATTTCCCATAAAGATAAACAATAGCTTTCTTGACTCGATCTGCTGCTTTCTTCTTGCGGAACTCTTCCAGCTGCAACAGAATAAAACCATCCAAATTACATGAACCCAATGCTAGTAAGATAACCAAAAGAGACTCAGCAGCCCAAACTTGACTACTGCTGTCATTCCAACAACAATTATCGTCTATAGTCTCGGAACTAATAAGATGCATGATTGGCTGAAATACTATTTTCTAAGCTAACCAACCAATAGTATATAGTTATATTCAAAATGCTAGTAAGATAACCAAAAGAGACTAGCAGCCCAAACTTGACTACTGCTGCCATTCCAACAACAATTATCGTCTATAGTCTCACCACCAGAGTGTCCTTTCCTTTCCTTCTCCCCCGTGGTTTCCTTCCCTTTCTATTAATGGGAATTGCCCAAAACAAGCACCCATATATGTTGTATTGATTCATTGATTGGGGAAGAAAGGGACAGAATGAAGGAAGGAGGACAAGTGGCAAAGCTGCAAAGAGCCTCAGGCCACCACCATGGTCAGGCTGGCTGGCTGCCAAACAAGGATATGAATACAGCTATTGTGGAAGAGAGAAAGAAGAAGGAAAGTTTTAAGTAGGTAAACAACAATTCCCTTCCATGTAACCATGCAAAAGCAACTACTCCTTCCATGGATTTAAGTTGGTAAAACTAACATGAAAGAGAGCTGGGAAACCAGTGTGAGCTGGGTTTCAGTAGCTTAACATGTCATTTTGGAAAAGTAGGTAAATACAAGTTCACTAAGTAGTCCAAATAAACAAGGCAGCTCAGAAATTGCACTAATGATCAGGTTCAAATGTTACCTTATATGTTTGCGCTTGCCTCTACATTAGGACTCATACGAGGAGTATGGATACGGGGAAGTGGAACATCAGATATACCAATAGCCTTCATAATCATGCTCAACTCTGAAATTCATAAGAAGACAGTTTAATCACTACATAAAACGTACATGGTACATAAACAATATCTTTTTTTAGGTTACTCACCTTCATCGATATTGTCAATCTCCTCTGAATCTTCTTCAACTAGACACACACTAGATTCTGCCCGGAGCCAATCCTGAGTACAAATAAGAGCCTCAACAATCCTAGGAGTCAAAGAGCTCCTGAAATCATTCAGCACCCTACCTCCAGTGCTAAAAGCTGCTTCAGATGAAACCGTAGAAACCGGGACAGCCAATGCATCCCTTGCCATCCGAGACAAAGTTGGAAACCTATGGCTGTTTACTTTCCACCATCCTAATACATTAAACTTGGCATCCGTTGATTTTTCAACACCCTCCTTCAAATACCTATCCAACTCGGTATTGTTCACTACACCTCTTTTCTTTTGCATTTGTTTCATATACTCGGCAACTAAATCCACATTCCCACCATTATCATCTACTTCTGTTTGAGAGGAGGAATCTTCACCTACTTCCATTTGATTCTCATAATGAGCATATAACTCATAAGTAGCAAGCTCAACGTCTTTTGTCAAATCAGAAATTGCTTTCTCATCATCATACATCCACTTGAGTGTGAAACCAATAAACTGTAACTTTAGCCTTGGATCTAACACAACAGCAATGTACAAAAGCTTGTTCATCTTATCTACATCTCCCCAATATTTATCATACTTTTGTTTCATCTTTGTTGCCATGAAGCTTAATTGGTAATCCTTCTTGTCTGGAATTACCCAATTCCTCAACAAATTGTATAAGTTCCCAACTTCAGGAAGGAATAAATTGGAGGTGATATACTATGAACCTGAAACTTTTAAGGTGAACTGATAAAACTGTTCTAAGAACTTCATCATTCTTCTAGCACTATCCCAATCACAGCTATCAGGTACTCCACTCTTCATTTCAAGTTTATTTTGAAATTGCTTATCTGACATTCGATAAAGATTAAAAGCATGCTCATGCTTTACAGCAGATTGCAACATCAAAAAGGTTGAATTCCATCTCGTTGGAACGTCAAGACACAACCCACTCTTGCTCGTATTATCAAGAGCAACAAAATTATTAAACTTCTGAATTCTTGCAGGTGAATGCCTAACAAATCTCACCGCCTCTCTGATTCTTTTTACAGCCACAGATATCTCAGATAATCCATCCATCACAACAAGATTCATTATATGAGCCACACACCTAACGTGAAGAAATTTGCCATCACACATGCCAATCTTTCTATCATCAAATATGCTTTTCAATTCTTCTATTGCAGTATCGTTCGAACTAGCGTTGTCAACAGTGATTGTGAAAATCTTATCTATCCCCCATTCATCCAAACAAGACATAACTGCACTTGCAATATCCACCCCCTTATGACTAAAGATTTGGCGAAAACCAATTATCATTTTCCTTAATATCCAATTTCTATCAATAAAATGAGTTGTCACACACATGAAGTTCAATTGTTTGTTTGAAGTCCATGAATCTGTAGTCAAACAAACTCTACCTTCACAGTTGCTAAAGACATCCTTCAACTTTTGTTTCAACTCAAGATAAAAATCCCAACAATCCCTAGTCACTGTTCATCTAGAGGGTATAGAAAATCTAGGACAAGCAAGTGACATAAAGTATTTGAAACCCAAGTATTCAACAAATCTGAAAGGCAATTCATCCACAACGATCATATAAGTCAATCCTTTCCTTATAGCTGCTTGATCAAACTTCCAACTGCCTAACATAGATTCATCCCCCTCACCTAGTTCAGCTCTAAGAGTATTCAATAGTTCTTGAGCAGTACCTTTTCCATCACCGCACGGTTTACTCATATGATGGCGGAGTGCACTAGTTCCATTGTTACATGATTTAGATGCATAAGTCTTCCCGCATTTGATGCATGACGACTTGAATAAACCGTCCTTCTTATACCTTCTGAATTGGACCCAAACTTTTGATGTAAGCCTCCTCCCTTTTGGCATTGGTGAATTAATGTGAGTCGAAGCTGAACCAGTATGATCACTAGCATCCACCTTGCTCGTACTTGCATCCATTTCGACTTCCATCTCTTCCCCACTTGAGGAATCCATTCCAATATCATCACACTCAGCCTAAAACAACAACAGAGCAAATGAGAACAGGAAGATGGCAAATAATCTTATCTATAAATATATATGTATGTTTGTCTGTGCAGAAATAGAATAAGGGAAAAAGAGAGAGATAAGCAGCCAACTATATATATATGTTTGTATGTACATGATAACTCTATAGGCAATAACTAATTTATTAAGAGCCTCCTGCTGTGACTTCAAAAGAGTATCCACAAAATCAAACTTTACACGATGCTGCAGAACTAATAACTAGAGTTGCCATTATACATATGATGCATCTGGAAGAATGTGCATTAAATAAACAGCTCCCTTTAGAGTGAGATGATGCATCACACACAGATTCCCTTCCAGAACCCCCACATCATTCCGATAACAGTATCTTCTACCATAGTATAGGAACTCACCTCACTAACACTAACCACATTGCTGCTGGGTATCAGTGCTCGAGCTCGTTTTCCCTGTAAGCCTTTAGATTTCATCTTTCTAATAACAGTATCTTTTGTTTCCCTATTGCTTGATATCGAATTCACAGATTCATTACAGCCCTACAAGCATATGGAAGAAGACAGTTAGAACATTGTGACAGGTAAAACTATAAACATAATTTCATATAATGAGATATTATGATCTGAAAGCAAATCCCATCTAACCCTCCTCTACCATATTATGATCTGTAAGCAAAACCCATCTCTACCATCTTAGCTTCCACACGATCTACCATCTTAGCTTTCACATCAGGAACATAGTTTGTCAATAGCAAGCTACCACAGGTAAGTAGAACAATAAAGAGGTGTGAAATCCTAAAAATGGTCGTCTCCCTTTGATTCATAATAATGAGCTTAGCCTGCCAAATAGTTGCACAAGAAATGGATGCTCTACTAGAATCTTTCAATTAGTCATCCCAACCAGATAACATAATGGTAATGTAAAATATTACTGCAGTTCGATAGCTGATGAACAAACCATTTAGGGACTAGAAACACATCCAATACTGGTAATACCCATCTAACCTAATACACAAAGCCACAAACCAAAGCTATGCCAGCCTGCTCATGTGCTATCCAAGAACAAAACTAAGTTAAGCAAACCATAAATGGTTGGGGAGCTGGACGACTTTCACTTCCCCGCTGGCACCTACACCCTCTTCTTCAAGCTCCACCTCGGCAAGCCATCCGCCTCCTCCAAACGGTTCGGTGGCGGCCGCCGCGTCAGCAGCTCGGACCAGGTTCACGGGTGGGACAAGAAACCCGTCAGGTTCCAACTGTCCACCTCCGACTGCCGGCAAAATCGGCTGCATCAACTGAAAGATTTGAAACCCTATAACCAACCTAATCGCAGACCTCTGCGGATTTCGGGTACGGTAACAACAACCCTAGATCCATACGTAACTAATCTAATCAACCCACCAAGCATACCCAATATGTAACTCTATTCCTACAAGAAAACCCACGGAGGGCAAAGGGATCAGTAGGTCGGTCGCCGCCTTGGCGGAGGTCCGACGGGAAGACATGCGGTCGATTCGAGATTGAATCCAAAAGAAACTGATCAAGGATATGAAGAGGGAGGGAGAGAGTACCAGAACGACGGTGTGAGCAGGGATGCGGAGGCCGGCGGAGGTGCGAATCTGGATGTTAGGTCAGTGGAAGCGTCGTCGGCGTCGATCTATGGAGCTCGCGATCTCTCGTCTCTTGGTGTTGTGCAACGTCGAAAGGAACAGAAGAATCGTTAGGTATGGATGAGGAAGAAGAATCGCCGCCGGGTAGCGAGGGAATGGTGCGGATCTGGCGGGGACTGGGTGAGGAAGAAGAATCACCGTCGGGAGGATAACGGTTTGCGGTGAGGAAGAAGAATCTCTGCAAAGCTACTCGTGCGTTGGTGGTGGGCGACCTTCAGTAAGAATTAGCGGTTTGCGGTTTTGAACCGTAACCGTGTGGTTTCGGTCAATCCAAACCGCGAACCACTAACAACTAAATGGTTAGTCCGCAAACGAAACCAATAGTTAATGGTACGGTTTGGATTGACCGTTGGAGCGGTTTGGAGCGGTTTGGAGTGGTTTGGTCAAACCAATGCCCACCCCTACTCCCACCTTGCAATTAGCAGCAGCCCACCGCCAATTATAGCCATCTCCAGTTAAAAGAAGAACGAATAAGCACAAACTGAAAGAGGGAAGGGGAGAACAACAACATAACAGGGACAGAGCATCGATTCCCCTGCTACTCGACCCCAGGATGACAAATGAACAATGAAAAACGAGCCTCCCAATCCCTGACTTACTACTTCAGCGCAAAACAATGAATCTGTTATACAGATTCGATGTAGGAAGGAGAGTGAGAGATTTCAATCGATAGATAGACCTAGGGAGATGGGATCGACGTCGGGCAAGTCGTCGGGAGTGATTATGTAGAGGCCGCCGGCGAGGGAGATCGATGAACTGTGCTTCTGGTTCGTTTGCCGTCCGACGATCCCGATTTTCTGTTTTCTGATTTTGCCGAAAGCCCGAAAGAGCAGATACATTTTACTTTAACTAGATTGTACCACGGCCCGTTGGTCGATTGCAATATGATTATCGTAATTAACAAAGCTTTAAAGTAGGGGTGGCTATACGGTCCGGTTAAATTGGCCCAAATTGATCCGGTCCAGTCCGTTTTTTTTTGAAAATATAACGACCGAAGATTGGATTGGATACAGTCCGGTCTTGATCCGGTCCGGTCTTGACCCGGTCCGGTCCCAATTCGGTCTTGGTTTTATATTGAGATTGTGGGAATTTGAGTGGCCTAAGGCCTAAAAGGGTGAGGAGTTGGTTAAGTTTTGTACTAAGTGCAAAGGTTTGTGACCGTTTATGCAAATTACCCTTAAGTTTTGGATGTTGAGCTCTTTTATCCGGTTTTTTACCTCAAATTTAAGCCCAAAAATTGGATTGGATTGTTTACTATCCGGTCCCGGTCCGGTCTCGATCCGGGTTATACGGTCCGGTTTCCGGTTTTTCATCCGGTCCCGGTCCAAATAGCCACCCCTACTTTAAAGCTTAAATTTCAGTAATCTCCACTTCCCTTATATTATTGCCATGCTTATATGTCAACAACATGTGAATTAACAACATTTGCCTTCCATGTTGATTCTTGTTGAAATTGAAAAGGTAAGTCTTATGCAAAGTATATTAACTCATATTAAACTTGATGTCACAATATTATAGGTATTCCAAAGTAATCCATTTATTCATCAAGAATTTTCATTATTGACTCCACTATCTTCACTTTTATCTTTTGTATTTTTGTGAAGCATATTCAAACACAAAACATGATCATATATGATATATGCAATGTAATTTTCATGACAATTTACATAAGTTTACTAAAAAAATGTTGTTGGAGGTTAATTTTTTCCAATGTTGTCATAACCGAACCGGAGCATGACCCGGTAATGCGAACGGTTCGCACTTTAGTGGTCCAACCGGCATTAGACCGTTCAAAAACCGTTAGAGAACCGGTACCTAATAAACGTTATCAGTATAAATAGTGGACATTTATTAATCAGAGCTCATCTCTTTCCTTCGAAATTGTGAAATGGAAATAAGGATTCAGTTTGAGAGTCCGACGTTTTTGGTTTATTTCAATTTTCAATTTTCTGCAATTTTTTTAATTAAATTTAGTGGCTGAATGGCAAAAACCGGACGAGCGGCTCAATCGGCTCGAACGGTTAACCGTCTCGGCCGCTTGCCAACCGCTACATAAAACCGGAGCGGCTTTTAGACTGTTTCGAACCGATTTTATGACCAGGTGACGGTTTTACCGGTCGGGCCGAGCGGCTCGGCTCGGCTTTAATAACACTGATTTTTTCCATTATTGATTATCTTCGAAACTATTAACCCATTTATGGGATTTATGATTTTTTTTTTTTGTCAAAAGAAAAAAATGCATTCCTTCATTTAATGAGACATTAGGAAGAGGAGGTATCATTCTCCCACTATTTTCAGTAGCTTTTCATCATTAACTCTAAAAATCAGAGTTCTTTGATGACCAAAGACAACAAAATTATATTTTGTAGTATCCAAAACTCAAGTTGGAACTTAAATATTAAAAGCTTTAGTAATTGATTGGTAGTATCTACCATTCGAGTTGGGTCTCAAATATGAAAAATGCTGATGATTGAGATTCATTATTTAGAAGAGAAATATAATGTTTATTGAGGATGATTCTTAAATTGACTGAATATTACTTACAAACTTGATCACATATGGATTAAAAATAAATAAATAAATGAATTACCCATAAGGGCTAATTCTCTTAGAGAAAAAAAATATATTTTTTCCAAAACATATATAAAAATGGATATCATCTTCTATAGTTTAACCAATTGGAATTTTCAAAATAAAAAATTTAAAATCCAATATAAAACAAATGAGATATGATCAATTATAAATCCTCTCACTAATATATGGAATTGATCTCCACGCAATCCTAATCCTATTTTCTCACCATTATGATAATGTATTATTTTGGTTGAAACTCATAACAATAAAATTTAATATGTATTAAATATTTAATATTATTATGAGTTTATCTGCAATTTTTTGTCTTCATGGTGTTTAGGTATGATAAAAATACGCACTAATCGTGTAGGGTAATTCTCGAACCCGAAGCATTTCTGTGGGTACGGGTAAAACTCGAAACGAAATATCGTGGATAATGGGTGGACACGGGTTTCTCACTATCCAATTCAAACCCGCCCGATTACACACATGCATATGTATTTAGCATAGAAATTATTACTATATTTCTCAACATAGTTTATATTTAGCATACAAATATAATATTTTCACAGAATTTTTATTTATTTTTATTTGAAATTAATTTTCTTCGTTCTAGTGAATTAACGTCATACTTTTCCACTTATATAATGTGAGTACGTATGAATATTAACATGTTGATTGGATTTATAAAGAGAAATTATTACCCACGGATAACCGTAAATACCCTAAACCCGAACGGATATGAATATGATTTTGATTTTCTACCCGATTTTTATGTGGCTATGAGTTATATATCAATCTCACTGTTTTTAGCAATTATGACTTGAGTCGGAATCAGAAACCACATTATTTGAGACTCAAATTATTCATTCTCATTGTTATATTATGTGTGGCAGAGAAGATGATTTAGGCTTCCGACAAAATAGAAATCTAATTGAAAAAGATAATTAGATATAAACCACAGCCCAATCCAAAAGCTACCCGATTCTCACCCAAAAACAAAACTTGGAAATCCAACCCAAATGCCTAATCATGTAACTCTGAAGTCTGTACTCACGTAGCCAAGGTAATATATAATGTGAAAAAGACTTACATAGCCTTCCGTGTAGGGCGGGCTATTTGGTCCCGGACTGTTTGGTTTTACCCGAAACCGGACCGTATAACCCGGATCGGGACCGGACTCGGACCGGATAGCAAACAATGCAATCTCATATTCGGGCTTAGATTTGAGGTAAAAAACCGGATAAAGACCGGATAAGAGACCCCCAACACCTAAAATCAAGATAAAATTGGGACCAGATCGGGTCAAGACCGGACCGGATCAAGACCGAACTGTATCCAATCCAGTCTTTGGTCCTTATATTCCCGAAAAGACCGGAATGGGACCGGATCAATTTGGTCCAATTTAACCGGCCCGGACCGTATAGCCACCTCTACTTCCGTGAGATGCGGTTAAGCCTCCAAATTCAGTTTTAACCCACTCTCCCCACAAAATCTCATTATATTAGTGGGTAGATTAATAATTAAACAGAATCTGAAAACAAAGTGTTATAACGGAAATTCATTTGCCGTTATTTGGGACAGCCCGTTTGGGTCATTTCCAACGTTGTCAAACCGGTTTATACCGGCGTGTCGGTTTTGAAAGTGGAATGGTCCGACCGTGGTACAACCAGTATTCACGCCGGTTGTGCCGGTTTTAATAAAATATACGAGACAAATGGAAATCCTCAATTCCAAATAAATTAGTCATCAAAAAGCAATTAGAAAAATTATTTCACACAAAATAATTTATAGCTAAGAATTGGTAACTAATACTAATCAATTAGATGCTTAAAAATAAAAGTATATAAAATGAATTTTATTAATGTTTATAATGATTTATGTAAAATTAAGTATTAGATATATAATATATAAGGTTAATATATACAACAAAGTTGCTTGTAGCCTACTGGTATATAAGTTAGACTAAAATGAACATGAGCTGCTTGGTTCAAATCCTAAGAAAGATGTTTATTTTTGAATAAAATATGTGTAACATTGAATTCCGGTTTCTGGCCTAACCGACCGGAATTTCCGGAATTGACCGATTTGACAACCATGATCATTAGAAATGACCATCACCGGTGCCGCACCGTAGCATTGGCCGTTTGTATTATATGCAACTGACCGAACCTAAATCAGGGCCCATGTAGTTTTGTGGAAGCAATTGGACTCACAAATGGGCCGCAAGCGACGGATCCAAAATTGAAAGTTGAGGCACGTGTCCCATCCAGAGCAAGTGCCAAAGGTAAACGGATATAGTAAATCGGGGGAATTTTAGAGAGAGAGAGACAGAGACAAGAGGCGGGAGCGCGAGAGACGAGAGGAGAGGGGAGATCGGAGTTAGGGTTTTGAAATTCGACGAAATCGGAAGGTCAGTGGGCGCGACGATCATCATCAATCGCAGTCGCTTCTCAAGCTTTACTTTCCCACGCCTTAATTTTCTTCTTTTGCATTCGCGGGGATTCCTTTTGTGTAGCGAAAAAAAAAAAAAGAGAGAGGGCCAGCGGAATTGGTGAGTTTGATTTGGTATTTGATGATGTTTGTTTGTGAGAAAGAGGTGTGCTTATCATGTGCAGGGAGCGGCGAGGAAGAAGAAGAGTGGTGTGTGAGAGATTCGAGAGAGAGTGTTTGTTGCGAGTCTACGAGAGCGATACCAATTATCTCCACTAACACCAATTCCTTGAGTGATAGAGCTTATTTTCCAATCCTCAGCTTCCAATTCTTCAGAATTTCCTGATGGAGCGAAAGCTTGTGGTCAGTACTTCTAACCACTCCAATGCGATCCGTTTTTGCTTGGATGTTTGTGGGTTCATTGGTTGCATTTTTTTCTGTGTGCTCAATGTGCAGGTACTGGGTATTCCTTGGGAAGTGGATACCGATGGTTTGAGGGACTATATGAGCAAATTCGGGGATTTGGAGGACTGCATTGTCATGAAGGTTTGAACTTTTGTCTCATATTTGACTTCTACAATGTTGGGTTTTGACCTTGTCTCTTCTCTTAGTGGATTTCCTCTGCTTCTGCTTTGGTCATTGCTCTGTTTTCGCTCATGTTTTCAGAACAGTGCTTGCTTCTGTGGTGGGATCCTCACGGACAGAAAAAGATTGCTGTTTTATTTTTCTTCCTGAATGCTAGATCATGTGCGTGGGCTTAGGTCTTTGAACAAGAAGTGAGGAACATAACTAGGGTGGTGTACATCCATCCATCCAAACTAGAAGTGCCCATCAGAAGCCATAGACGTGGAAGAAAAATGCTACTGCTGGAATTTAACTTTTAATAGCTCTGACTGTCGTATCCATGAACAACATTGTCCTCAATTATGCCAGCACGATCTTGTTGTCGACACAGGGCATACTTTTACCTAGGGATAGTTATTGTTAAACTGTTATAGACCAGCTGGTTGTGTTCTATTAGGCGGCTGAATTTTTTTCCAGTTTGTGACAAGTTTTAAGCTCCACATTCCTTGTATTTGGATACGGAGTAACGAGACTTTTGATTATCTTTCTTACTTCTCTTTGGATGCTTTAGGAGCGGTCTTCAGGTCGATCTCGTGGTTTTGGGTATGTTACTTTTGCATCTATGGAAGATGCCAAGGTAATAAGAACTTTTGAATCACTAGAATTTATATATTGTCTATGTGTCACTCTTCTCAGTGTATCATGGGTGCTGGTTCAAGTCTCTTATACTGACCTGTTCCTGATTTTACTGTCTGGTAGAATGCATTAGAGAGTGAACACTACATGGGGAAAAGAATGTTGGAAGTTAAAGTGGCAACACCAAAGGTTGAGATCTCGAGACATGTTTGCTTATGTCAAAGCAGATATTCATGTACCAGTAGTATGCTCAGATGTGCTTTGCCCTACTGTATTACCTTGTTGCAGGAGGAGATGAGAGCCCCTGCCAAGAAGGTAACGAGAATTTTTGTTGCTCGGATCCCACCATCTGTAACTGAAGGAAGTTTCCGTAGGTAATTCAACTGGATGGTGAACAAGCTGTGAAGTATTGCTTTATGTTTCCCTCACTTGTGTCGATTTTGATGTGGAGTGGATATGGAGACAAATTTGACATTTTTCAATCTTGTTTTGCAGTCATTTTGAGAGATATGGTGACATAATAGACTTGTACATGCCAAAGGTGAGCTTCTCTACTCCCCTGAAAGAGTAGCAAACACAAAGGAGGATTTGGAAAACTCCGTTTCAGTTTCCTATCTTTGTTTGAACATACCAGCTGTTATAATTCATTGTGCTTTTTAATTAGATGTTCTTTTTTATTTGCACTTAAGGGGTTTGTTCCAATATAAAACATGACTGGTCTTTTTCTGCAGGATCACAGTTCAAAAACCCATCGAGGAATTGGGTTTATCACTTTCGATAGCGCAGGTTCGGTTCAGTTGTCATCATGTTTTTTTTTTGTTGTTGTTGTTGTCGTCGCAAGATCCTTGTTAAGCATCCCATGTGTATTCAAGCTCCCTTCCTGTTGCAGAATCCGTGGATAGTTTGATGGCAGACACACATGAATTGGGTGGTTCCACAATTGTTGTTGACCGAGCAACACCTAAGGTAACTTGTGGCTGACCGACACTTCCTTTTACAATTATAGAACACTTTTTTGTCCCTTCATTGGGATTGTTTTCCAAAATTCCACATCATTTGAGTTATTTTGGAAGCTTCAAATTTTAATTGTCAATTTGGGTAACAAATGTGACTTTGCCACCTCAGGAAGATGATTTCAGGCCGGCAGGAAGAGTGCCAGCAGCAGCTGCTCATGGTGGCTACGGTGCTTATAATGCTTATATTTCTGCTGCAACTAGATATGCAGCCCTTGGTGCTCCTACCTTGTATGACCATCCTGGCCCGCTCTATGGAAGTAAGTATTGCATTGAATGGGTACCTTACAAGTTTGTTGAGCCAAGTTCGCCTTATTGATGATTTTCGCGTTCTCTATTCCGCTTGAACCAGGAGCTGAACCACCATCTAGGGCAGTTGGGAAAAAGATCTTTGTTGGAAGGCTTCCTCAAGAGGCAACTGCAGAAGATCTGCGCCTATATTTTGGCAGATTTGGCCATATAATGGATGTTTATGTCCCAAAGGTAAGCCTGCAGAAAACATATGTTATCTGCAATTAAGAATTGCAAGGACCAGCAACTTAGAACGTCTCTCATGTGTATAGGACCCTAAGAGAAGTGGGCATAGAGGGTTTGGATTCGTCACCTTTTCAGAGGATGGTGTGGCAGACCGTGTATCTCGAAGGTCTCATGAGATTTGTGGGCATCAGGTACTACATAGTTTCCCTTTGCTTTACCTTCATGTAAGTCTGGGTGCAAACCGAAATGACCTTATTCAATTAATCAATCCATCACCATTAATTTCATTGTATGTGTGTTCGAGAAGTTGGATACTGGATTGTCAGTTGCGGACTTTTATCTCATTTGTAAATCTTTCTTTCAGTTCTGTACTCCCCTTCACTGCTCGTATTAATAATGAAACTAATTCAAGCCTGCAGTGTAGTGCACTAGAGGGAATTATTGCCAACTATGTCACTTTGTTTGTGTCGACTCCTTGTGCAGGTTGCTATTGATTCTGCTACTCCACTTGATGATGCCGGTCCCAGTACAAGCTATGTGATGCCTGGTGCTGAAGCTCTGGGTGGTTATGGTGGTCCTATGCGCAGCTTTGGTAGAATGTATGGAAACCTGAGCTTTGAAGATATGAGTGTACGTGTCATATGACTCCTGCTGTTCACTTTCTAGTCATGTAAGCAACTAATTGTTTATCGACTGCCGCTAAAATGGTTATTCCATTTTTCTTTCTGCAGTGGGGGTACGGCATGGGTGGCATGGGTGCTGGAAGACAGTCGTCAAGAGCAGATTGGAGGTTCAGACCGTACTAAGTCTCGGTATCCCTGAGCAAACTTCGTGTGGGTCATTGTTTAGAGTTTGGCCTGAAGGCAAAATAATAGCTTGATGAATCTCATATTCCCATTAGATGAACTGTTGTGCTTGTATTTAATTTCTTTCGGATAGCTGTTTAATGTTGACCTTATCCACCCTTTCTTACTTCAATAATGTACATTATATGACCCTTTGATTAGATTGCCTGTATTGTAACGTTGCTGTAAGCTCTGATGTCTTTTTGCACCAATTATGCGACATGAAGAAAGCTTCATCGGTACTCTATGACCAAGTTCTGAGAATCATTTGTTGTTATTATCTTCCTAGCAGTGTACATAATGGTCATACCGCTGTGTATTAATACTTGCTACATCGGAACATTTTCTTGGCTTAAGCGAAGACGAGAAGAGATTAGAGAGCATGGCAGTTGAAGCAGCTTCTCATGGAACCAAACCGCTTGTGCCTATATGTAGATTTGGATTTCTGAGATCTTTTGGGGATTTGTTGCTCCTGAACGCTAGGCATTGAGCTTCTCATTTGCTGAGCCTTCAGTTGTGCTGTTGTCAGCTTCGTCAAGATCTTGTCCATTGATGATGATCTCTTTCTCTCGAGTTTCATCTGAAGGAAATTGGTAGGGTGAAGGAGTTGGTTTCCTCTCAAGTTTCTGCTGATCATAGGCCATACTTATACAAAACTTGCATATATTGTTCAGAAGAGCATACGAACCTCGAGCTTTCGCATCTCAGCCTCGGCTTTTGCCTTCTGCAAGTTCTCCCATGCAGTGATTTTGGCTTCCTCTCTTTGGACCCTGCATTCGGAAAGTGACACTGAATCAACCTAAAAGCTACTGGGCATTTCGTCCGATCCATGAGTTGAGAAGGGAAGGAAGCAAGGGATTGAGCCATACTTTGAGAAGTCTGAAACTGCCTCTGTGATATCCCAAGAACAACTGTTAGTGAGAGCCATGGCATTTTGATGGAAGTCTTCGGGATGCGGCAATCTTTTCTTGACTATAGAAGAAGAAGAATGTTTCGTGGACCAACTTGTTACAGTCGCCTTCTTATCAACCTGCACCTCCCTGATTTCCATTTTGGAAGGATGTTCTCTACTCCCAGAATCCACCATAGCAACGGTAGATGACCTCCTTGGAGACGAGTGGTTGCTTTTGCTGTCTGGGCTCATTTGAGTTGCCATATCCCTTCTTGAAACGACACGACTAACCGTATTTTCTTCATTGATCATATCTTCGTCTACTCTCCCATCTGGGTCAACAAAATGTACTGCACATCCAACCGTCAGAGATAAAACCCTAGGAGAACGTAGACAAATTGGAGTACAAATGACCCGACATAATAAATTTGTAACCAGCGCAATCCTCTTGCGGGCATCAACTATATGCATAGACAGAACCGGGAAGGCAACATCTATGTTCAACAGATTATGAATCATGCACAACTGAAAAACGTATAGAAAGATTTCTGCTTTTCACTCGAGATCGTTAATGTAAAATTGCCAATGCATTTCCCTGTTTCACATTTCAAATTGTGTCATTGTGGCTAAAGAAAAAGGGGAAGGGAAAAGGGGCAGTTTACCTCCAGGGGAGCTAGGCAAGGAAGAATCACTAACCAAGTCTGACCAAACAACCAACTTCGAGGAATTGCCTCTCCCACCACTACCGCCACCACCAAGATTCCTTCCCCCGCCAGCTCCATAATGCAAGCCGACGCCATTAGGCATCAAGACCCCAGTGGAAAAGGGGGAATTGACCACCAAGTTCCTCAGAGGCCCAGCGTCGAGCACCTGGAGTGCAGGCGAACAGTTGGAGTAATGCACCACACCAGGGGCCACAATTGGCCCACTCTTGGACTTGGGTCGCTTCTGAAACTGAGACTGAGGCTCGCTCCCCGGACCGTACCCCATCACCGGGCTGCAGACCCACCGCTCGGCGTCTTCCCATTTCGACGGCACCGCCCTCCCGCTGTAAAACGGGGTCAGCCCAGTAACCCCCAGCTGTCGGGTGGTCGCCGACGAGGAGGGATGCGGCGGCACCCGCTCCGAGCACCACCCTTTGTTGCTGCTGTCCTGGTAGTAACTTCTCGCCGCCGCCTGGCTGGGGATGGGGAAAGCGCCTAGGCTCTGGGAAGAAGCCAGATTCTTCTTGTGCTGCTTCATGGGTTTCCCTCCTTTAGCTCTTCTGTGCAGAGAGTGGTTTCCTTTCTTGTGTGCTGTACTTTTTGTTGGCGGGTTTGGTGGAGTTTCACATTGGGTCAGAAATGGCGGGGGGCCTGGGGCTGGGTTGTTGGGGTTTGGACGTGGACAAGTCGCGGGTTCGAAGACGACAAAAGCTGCATCGATGGCTGGTTTGATTGGTCTAATCTCTCCTTTTTGTTGCTTTCTTTCATTTTTTGCCATGCTCTTTTTGTTGTTATCTTAATTTCTTCCCTGCATTTAAAACCTTTTTGCCATTTGGAATCACTTGGTTAAGAATTAAGATTCTCCCCGACCTCGTTGCCATGAATCATGATTGAGATTTATCCATACTCAGATGAAGTATATGCCTAGTTTCCGAACAAGAAAAAGAAAGTAATAAAGCAAGGCATATGGCAACTTCTTAAAGATTAAAGTTATGGTGATTTGAAATATAGGGAACAAATATGGTCAATGGTATTAGGGTGAGAAAATTTCTTTGTGTAATTTATAATGGGCGATTTGACTCTTTTACAAATCCATCCAGTCTTATCTATGAATAATACTACATATGGAGATCAACCAGAGCATCAAAGGATAAACTATTCTCTTGAACTTGTCGACCAATTTCAAAGCACAATGTATACACCATCCCTTTTTTGTTAAGTCGGACAACCACCCTGTTATAGTGGTTGACTGCTTTTAAACAAAGACGCCAACCTAACAATACTATTGTTTGTTCCGATTAGTTTTGGAGAACTGAATGGAGTAACTCGTGTTAGAAGTTGATACTTGCTTCTTTGCAATCAAAATATCCCAACTTCAAGTAAATCAAGGATGATTAACACATATCAAGATTCACCAATGAGCCAATGGATAGGTTAAGTCGGTTCACCTCATTTGTGGGACAGAAGGCCTTAATTGATTTGATATAGATGTAAGTGGAACATAATGATGATGAGGATTGTTAACAATGTAGTAAAAAATTTCCTAAACTGATTTATATAGTTGGCTATTTCAAGTCTCATCCTTACTATTTGTTTGCTTGTTGGAACCTTTACTCTATTGTACTCTTGACACTCTTTATATTATTTTGATCATCTGTGTTTATGCTGAAAACCAATGGTGGGGTAACAAGACAGAGTTGTCTTCTGCCCTCAATGTTGCTATTACTCGTTCCTAACCACCACAATTTAAATAATAGAATAGATCCCCTCTTTTTATTTTTCTCGAGTGCAAGCTCTCCCGTCTCGTTCAATGTTGTTTGCCTTGCCTTAACTGGTCTTTGCCCTTGGCTTACTGTGGTATTGTGTGTGAGATATGTTGAGTTGTGTAGAAGAATGTCAATGTCTTTATTCCCTACTATATATGTACATCGTTACATATGGAACATGAGACTCAAACTAGTGTTGTATATTAAAAGAAGATGTATGGTTGCTAAGATGGTGGTGAAGGAAGAACTTTTCACTCACATAGTTGTCTGTTGAATTATTATTTAGATTATTCAATATCTAGATAGATAACTAGCTAGTAACTGTTTGGGGTGCATAGTTTATGCTTATGTTATTATTGCTTGCTTGCTTTGTAGTTGATTTTTTTTGTGGGAGGTCAAACATGGTTTCTTTTACCATCCTGTTTTGAGTAATGTGTGAAAATGTGGATCATTATATATAAACACCGAACAACTTCATGTAATGATTGTCCTTTGTTTTCAGGAAATGAATTCACATCTTTACAAAGTCTTTTCATTAATAAGCGTTAAGCTACCCTCGAAGCCTCTACGAACCAGCAGCCAACGCCCGATGAGGCTTCAATAAGAGGAATGTGGGACCACATGTACCATTAGCCATAGGAACAACACTACCAATAACATCGGTGGTGCTGGTGCATCATGCTCTAGTGCTTCAAGTCTAACAAATTCAGAGGAGCTATTGGCACAATTTTTGCTAGGTTATGAGAAGGAACTTACTCCTGAAGTATTTGCACGTTTGACTCTCCATGAAAAGTTGGGTGTATTACTTAAGGTGAGTGCATCCAAAACTTGGGCCGAGTTCATCAACTTCTTGAACAATTACAATAAATATGTTGATGTTGAATAATATGCCATTTTTGTAAGCCTAATTACAATTTTTTAGCTTTTCTTTATTTAAGAACAATATGCTACTATTTATAGCACTAGTTTTTTCCAATTAAGTTTAAAAGTTTTTTGTATCATGGCCTGTTAGTATTTTTTTCGTACCCTGGGATTGCATCTAAAATATAGTTATAGACGTAATCGAGTGGGCTCGATGCAGATACTTAAAATACCTATATCGCACCAAATCTATTACTTTCTCCTGTCAAGTTCAGGGAAAGCCCACCTAAAAAATAATATCGATTGGGTTCTCCTTGATTAAATCATATTAGATTCGATTGGGTAGATGTGGCATCGGTGGGTTTTACTTGTTTTAGCTAAATTTATATGGATAATTCAATACTAACTCAACTCATATTGACCACCGGGTAAAATAATATTTATATACAATCAAACTCATATTTTCTATCAGGGAACTATATTCAAGTGTCAATACAATTAGTGAACTATTCTTCAATTTAGTACTAGGTCAACTAATATTCATATACGTACAACTCATATTTATTCATTACAAAACTTGGTAAGGAATACAAAGCTAGACCATATAAGAAAATAAACCTAGCTAAAATTGCAGTATCTTATGATGACTCATATTTAAGTAAAAATTGTTGGATATGATACGAATTTCAATTCAATTATACAGGTATATAAGTTCGTGAATGAATATGCGTTGACATTGGGATAAATATGAGTTTATTTAGCATAAAAATGGAGAAGTTTAAGACTTTGACTAAAAATCATATATTTTCCCCCAACTCATATTCACATAAGTAACAACCAATATTCGTATACACAACAACATTTATTCACTTTGATATAGATGAATGTGAACTGATGTGAGTGTGAATATGAGTTTGGTTGTAAAGGAATATGGGTTGATGTTGGGATGAATATGAGTTCATCTTGTACATAATTGAAGAAGTTCGAGACTTTGATTGAGGTGTGTTAAAACTGAATATTAATTTGTATTTTTTTGGATTCATACTTTAACTCGTATTTAGTATGTACTAGTTCACAATCTAACCCATACTCGTAACAATGTCAACAAATATTCATCGAATTATCAACTGATAGTCAATACCAGGTTAATTGAGCTAAATTAATTAATCATATTCAGTATACAATCAACTCATGCATTCAACAAATTCATATGGATAATTCAATACTAATCAACTCATATTCAACACCAAGTAAATAGATTGTCATTAACCGACAAACTCATTATCAAAAGACGTGATAGTCTAAGCAAACACGCTTACACATGATTCACAGATTCCTCTATTTTCCCTTTCCCTTTTCATTCTCCTCCTATTCCTATACCCACTTTAAAAGATCATCCTTATGTTTGTTGTCCTCTAACAGAAGTAGATTGGCAACAATGTTCAATCTTTCTTGTTCTAGAAACTCATCTTTGCGCCATGTAATTGTGTCTTTTTCCTTTGATATAGATGAATGTGAACTGATGTGAGTGTGAATATGAGTTTGGTGGTAAAGAAATATGGATTAATGTTGGGATGAATATGCATGAGTTCATCTTGTACATAATTGAAGAAGTTCGAGACTTTGATTGATGTGTGTTGAAACTGAATATTAATTTGTATTTTTTTGGATTCATACTTTAACTCGTATTTAGTATGTACTAGTTCATAATTTAACTCATACTCGTAACAATGTCAACAAATATTCATCGAATTATCAGCTGATAGTCAATACCAGGTTAGTTGAGCTAAATTAATTAATCATATTCAGTATACAATCAACTCATACATTCAACAAATTTATATGGATAACTCAATACTAATCAACTCATATTCAACACCGAGTAAACAGATTGTCATTAACCGACAAACGCATTATCAAAAGACGTGATAGTCTAAGCAAACGCACATACACATGATTCACAGATTCCTCTACTTTCCCTTTCCCTTTTCATTCTCCTCCTATTCCTATACCCACTTTAAAAGGTCATCCTTATTGTCCTCTAACAGAAATAGATTGGCAACAATGTTCAATCTTTCTTGTTCTACAAACTCATCTTTGCGCCATGTATTTTTGTCTTTTTCCTGAAAACGACCAGCCCTGTGCTCCATGAAATGACATGCGGATACCACACATTCATGGTTATTGGCTTATTGTGGAGCAGCTGCAATCGTGAACATCCAATCGCTCAATGACACATTCAGCCCTTTCCTTGCAAGGAATGCAGATGTATATGCAAATAGTCTTTTCCCTTCTGGTGTATGATAATCTTCCGTTATAAAAAAAAATGGTAGTAGAATTTGTCGCTATAGTCGGGTTATGATTCCTACTTCAACCAAAATGGTGATTGGTAGCGAAAAGAAAAAGTATTGCAACCAATTTTGCCAATGGTAAAAAACCTTGATTTTTCGTGACCATTTTAATTTGGTTATCATAGCCCACACTATGTAGGTAATTGGTCGCCACAATCACAAATGTAAAATAATTTATGTGACTATTAGTAACCAATTTTTTGGATGTAAAGAGAATTCATTTAAGTGTTATGGGTGATCATTCAATTTGGTCGGGTCATTAGTGTATGTCAACCAATAATAAGATTACAACGACCAAATATTTTTTTTTGGTTATGAAAGTTTAATAATACCATAAAATTTGGTTTTGAAAAATATATATGCGGACCAATCATACCATTTTAGATGTCTAATTAATTTTGTTATGAAATTTTTAACACAACCATAAAATTGGTCGCGAAAAGCATGTACCGTAACAAATTAAATCTCTCTTCTCTCTCTTCGCTGACCTAGCTCGTGCAGGCGATTGAGCGGCCATGGCCGCGCCGGAGCCAGCGAACTGGGCTCAGCTCTTTGGAGTCGGGGACGGGAATCGGCTTCGGTTTGTGGAGCCAGAGCTGGTCGATGGGGAGCTAATAATCCCTCGATCGGTTCGCGATGAGGGAGCAGTCAAGTGGCGCAATGCGTTGGTCGGGCAGTTCCTTTCGGCAGCTCCTCCGATTGCAACAATCCGCCGCTGGGCTCAACGTTACTGGGGAAGGGATGGGCGAGTGTTTGTATCAGTGTTTGGGGTCAATATGTTTCTTTTCCAGTTTGAGTGT